TTTTAGAAAAATCTTTAGATTAAAATAATATATATATATATATATATATATATATATATATATATATATATTTTTTTTTTTTTTTTTTTTTGGTCAAAATTTGCTCCTCCTTTTTCCTGGGGTGTCCAGATGCAACACAAAGCTCACATTCAGTGATATTTCATTGCTAAGAACACAAAGAACCAAAATTTGGCCTCACCACAACTCGTCCCTTGACAGAAAAGTCCTGGATGACGACTTTCTGGATGTTGGTGTTGGTTCCAGGAAGGCTGTGCCGGCGTATCGTGTCTCGTTTATTTGGCTGAACCATGGTGTGGGTGAAGAAGTTAAACTTGACAGCCACACAGTTCATACTCTCCTTGATTTTTCTACAGCAGAGTCAATTACTTGATTAGCACAACAGCAAACAAAATATACATCCTGGGATTATGTGTGAGGTGATAATGGGTGAAGTTACTCGGTAAAGAAGGAAGTGGCTTCTAGGTCTGTGTCATTAGGTCTGAGGTTGTTCAGGACGAACTGCAAGTCACCGAAGTCCTTCAGTTCTGGGAGTTCTGCAGAAAGCAGCTGGAAAAATCCACACCTTTAAGGTTCAGGTGCTCTCAGACAGACCGTCAGCATTTTGATGAAGATGTTTGTGTGTTTGAGGTCTTACCAGCTCCAACATGCTGAGTATGAGAGCAGAGCGGCTTCTGATGATGTTATAAGCTTCACAGCAGAGCTCCACAAAGTGATGCAGGCGCTGAGGCTTCTCTCCGCCGCCCGTGATGAAATGCTGCATCTCAGACGTGAAAACGAAGGGTTTTCTGTCCCTGATGTCATGTGAGAAAAGAAGTTTGCAGATTTGTTATGTCTCTATTGTTTTGTTTTATAATTGTTAACCCCTGGGCCAGACCTTAGACAGGGCAAACAGGGGCAGTAGCTCAGGGTGCAATAAATGCAGGTTTAACAAACATTGTACTTTATATAAAACTCGTAGGCCCATATAAAGTGTGGAGTTGTAATATTGTTACATATAGAGGGATTATCACTCGATATCCAGTGTACTGTGCATGTCGCCTCCAGAAAGTAAGCAAGAATACTCTAGTTATTTAAACTATTAGGCTAACAAAATAATTTACATGTTGCAGCCGGTGCAGATCACATCTCTTCTCCTGGCAAAGCATGAAGCTAAATGTTTCTTGGTTCTCCATTCTTGGTCAGGGCTGCTATTAGTAAGTACAAAACTAAATGTTGGTTTGCACAGCGTATTTTACCACGCTTTGATAAACAGTTGTTGTACTGTGACAACAAGCTGGATGATGTTGAAACAGCAAGAGAAATGTGGGAAACGAAGGCAACCAGCAGCAGGTTAAAGGTCAGCTTTCCGGCTCTTTCTGAAGTCAATTTGCACGCATATTGGTGTGTTTACAAATAAATAATCTCTTTATACAATATTCTATTTTAAAATTCTGACATTACAGTACATCTTTTTGGGACCAACATGGAGCTGTGAGATGTTATAAGCCTCCTGCTGATGTGTAGGCCTGTCTGCTAATGAGTGCAAAGCTTTTTTTTTTCTTTGTGTAGGGCACCAACACTGGCTCTATCCAGGGGCCTTTACCCTTCTAGATCCGGCCCTGATTATCCCCACTACATTCCCTTTTCCACCAACTTGCCTTGGTATATTTGCAAACTTCTGTGCGTTTCCCATGATTTTGCCAAAGTCAATGTGGAACATGTGTCCGCTGTGCTTCAGCATGATGTTGTCATTGTGGCGATCGCAGATCCCCAGGATGAAGGTGGCTACGCACCAACCCGCACATGACTGGATGAAATTCATCACTGCCTGCATGTGCACAGCAGAAGGTTGAAACAAACTGACAGCAGATATACCTAACAGTCAAACGGCCAGATTGCCTTAAGGTTCAACCTTTTCATAGCCTTCTTTAGTTCTGTTCAACATGTGGAACCATTTCTCCAGCGTGTCGACTCGAAGCGTCCCACTCACACCCCACTGCTGGTGAATCTTTCCCAGCGTCACGGCGTCTGGCACAACTTCCACCAGACCTGATGACCACAAAGGAAATAATTAAGGACGATCTCAGAAAACATGGAATAATAAGCCAATAAGAGTCCTTTACCCTGAGCTTTGCCGGTAGAAACACACCGGAACGTAATCATCTGCAGGTCCAGCCCCTCCTGGAGCCAAACCCAGTCCATCACACGGACTATCTGAAGGATCAGCATGTCCTGACGCAGGTCGTCCCCCGTCTGAAAATCAGATTGTGTGTAAATGTGAGCAGAATAACAAAAATAAAAAATAACAAAATATGTTTATTAAATTTTTTTGCACAAAATCATTCTTAAACAGTGAGATTTCAATCTGGTCACATCCTCCAATTTTGAGCTGTTTTAGGGCGTCTTGTCACTTTAAATTCAAATAAGCTGCTGCTGTCCAACGTTTACCCTGCATGGAAATGGCTGCAAATAGATGCAGTGTTAAGTCACATGTGTCAAACTCGAGGCCTGGGGGCCAAATCTGGCCCACTGTAGCTTTTAATGTGGCCCCAAATTACATCAATAAGTCCCTCCAGTTTTTCACAAATTCGTAGCATTCAAACAGAATCAAGCCTCCACATTTGTTTTGGATTTTTACTGCAAATTTCTCTCGAAATTTTCCATAAACATGGGGTTTGAGTGATGTCAAGTTATAGTCTGTGACCGATATGGTGATCAATAAAAAGTCACATTTAACAACATACAATAGTGCAAAGATCGTAAAAATTCTTTACAAATATTTCTAAATTAACACCACAAAATCTGACAAAAACAATCAAGAAATCCTGGATTAAGGATCAGTGTGAAAACACTTGTTGAATGCTGAAACATACAGCTATTTAATGATATTTTATCAATACATTCTAGCACAAACGGCCCTTTGAGAACATTCAGATTTTTAATATGGCCCAAAATGAAAACAAGTTTGGCTCCCCTGTGTTAATTCAACAACAAAACACTCGTCCCTTTAGTAGATATGGTACAGTGCATACCAAACGTTCTGGAACTCAGTTTGGGTTGCTAGGTGATGGGCGGAACTTTATAGGGGTTGCTAGGTAACAGGCTGGGGTTACTAGGTTAATTTGTGACATTACATTCTGGAGGTTTTTGAAATGGCTCGTTTTCCAGATACCAAAAAAACATTTTTTTTTAACACTAACCGGCTGGGTGTTTTTTTAAGCACTTGGGTTGTTTTTAGAATCAGCAGAAACCCAAATGGAAGTAAAGAAACATTCAATTTCAGTTTTAAAACATAGATTTTGGGGTTCCACATCTGGATGCTTGAGACAGCCACAGCGTAATCGAGTGCAGACAGAAATATGTTGAACCTCAGTGAATCCATGACATTTTCAGCTGGAGAAGTTGTCAGATATCATTCACCAAATGAGCAGCGACAAAGTTCAGGTTGGTAATTCATTTATTAAATTTGTAAGAAGAAATATGAGGTAAGCAAACGGTAGCCTAAAAGAATAGGTTTACCAGGGACAAACTATGCTAAATTCAACTTGTTTTGTGCTATTATTAGAAGTTATGATGATATAAAAATCTTGTCAAACAGCCAGACACAAAACACACCAGAGTCAAATGGCAGACATCTTTGTCCACTGAAATAGTTTGATGAAAAACTGTAAAATCTGCAACAAAGACAGGCGCTTTTCCTGAAAACAGACATTTTTTTGGTAAACTACTGAGAGTGTGAGGAAGTGTTTATCTGAATCTTTTTAAAGACACTGCGGTCTCAAATTCACTCTAAGTGAGAGAACTGAAAGAGAAATTAGGCAGAAACCATAAGAGATATCAAAAAGCAGTTTGTTGCCGTGGAAGATGATGATTGTCACTAACCTTGCAAATGACACTGGTGGTTTTAGCCAGAGAGTCTTCACAAATGAATGTCACCCCCAGAGGAGCAGCGTTGGAGCTGTAGAACTTGCATTTCTGCAAAAAAAAAAAAAAAAGCACAGAGGAGTAAAAACTACGGCAAAACCCTGCAGATGATATCCAGCGTCATGTGGAATGCTGCAAAAACTCCAAATCTTACCAAGTATTTTTGGTCTAGTTTCTAGTGCAAATATCTTAATGCATTTCAAATAGTTGATAATTAAAGAACAAGTAACTTTTCAGCAAGATAACAGCTTGCTCAATAATTCCTTAATATTGGGTAAAAAAAAAAAAAAAAAGACTAGTTCACATGTGTCAAACTCAAGGCCCGCAGGCCATATGTGGCCCTTCATGTCATTTTATGTGGCCCCTCCAGCATTTTATAGGCCGATGATTGACTTAAAATAGGTTTTGCGCACGAATTGACTACAAACTACATCTCCCACAATGCATTTCGATTGTTACCAGCTAACATTACGGCTTCTCGCCACTAGAGAGCAGCAGAGTCACCTCACGCTGCATATTGATTTTCCCAGCGAATAAAACTGAGACATCGACAAGCTAACATCAAAACGTCCAAGAAAAGAAAAATCGATTTACAAGTAAGACTGTGAATGAAGATGTGTGTGAGTTGGTGTCGCGCTAG